TCCTCGGCTCTCGGGGGACCAAAACCCACCGGAGTTTCTTCCAGAAGAAACCAGGCCTCCCCAAATCGCAGAACCCGGCAGATTCGGATGGTGCAAAGGAGGAGATAATTGGAAATTAGTCAGGGGTAGTTTTCCCAGGTGGCAACAGGGCCTTTCCGCCAGGGTGGCCTCTACCTATCTACTCCATCCATCTATCTACTCTATCTATCTCTCCATCTACACTATCTATCTCTATTGTCTACAGATAATCTCTATCTAGCTACAATATCTGTCTGTCTATATTATCTTTATCTCTATCATCTCTATATCTATCTCTTTCTATCTACTCTATCTCTATCTACCTATCTATCTATAGTATCTATCTCTATCTATCTATCTATCTATCTACAGTATCTATCTCTATCTACAGTATCTATATCTCTATCTCTATATCTATCCACTCTATCTCTATCTATCTATCTATCTATCTATCTATATCTATCTATCTACAGTATCTATATCTATCTCTGTCTACAGTATCTGTCTATATCTCTATATCATCTATCTCTTTTATCTATCTACCTATCTAATTCTATATATCTCTGTCGATCTCTGTATCTCTATCTATATATCTATATACTGTATCTACTCTATATTTCTATATCATTTCTATATCTCTATCAATCTCTATATCTCTATATATCTATCTCTATCAACTCTATCTATGTATCTCTATCTATCTACAGTATCTCTCTGTCTAATCTATCTGTATCTATAGGTACCTATTTCTATAGTCTCTCATCTATCTGTCCGTCTATCTCTCTCTCTCTCCTATCTATCCATCATCCATCTATTATGTACTATCTATCTATTTTTGTCTATCCATCATATATTCTATCTATCTGTCTATCATCAATCTATCCCTCCATCCTGATAATCTCTCATCTACACTATTTATATATCATGTTCTGTCTCTCTACCCTCTCTCTATATCTCTCGGTCCTAGATCCGCCCACCCCTATAATCTCTCGTGTATCTATATATCCATAGATCATGTTCATTCTATCTGTCTGTCTACCTACCCAGAAACTAATTAGAGCTATAATTAAAATACAGGAAGCCTTTGACTTACAACCACAATTGAGCCCAAAACGTCCGCTGCTAAGCAGGGCAGTTGATAAACAGGTTTTACCCTGTTTTACGACCTTCCTTGCCCCGGTGGTCAAGTGATTCCCTACGGTTGTTCAGGGAGCCACGCGGTTGTGAAATGAGCCTGGCTTCCCCATTGACTTTGCCCTGCCAGAAGGTTGACCAGGAATGATAGAAGGTCTCCACAGCCTTGAGCAGGGGGTTCGACTGGAAGACCTCTGGGGTCCCTTCTGGCCGTATGATTCTCCGTCCTGTTCTAACACTGTCCGAAACTCATGCAAGGGTTGGGTGGACTGGTGTGTGTGGAAGCAGTCAAGATGGGCCTGCCTCTTCTGAGGAACCTCTACTCTGCTTCTTCCTCCCTGAAGACCACCATGGTCTCCCACCTCCTTTCCTTGACCCTGGCCCACAGCAAACCCCAGCAGCTCTCGACCTTTGCCCTGACCCTCTACAAGTACACAGCCACCGTGGACGGCAAGACAGTCCTTGTAGGTAAGTGCTCGCTGGAGGCAGTGGTGGAGGCCGCAGTGTAGATGTTCCGTCCTAGGCTTTCCCCCAAGAGCACGAAGCCAACTCTGGAGTCCCGGCAAAACCTCTTTTATTAAATGGATGTGAATTTATTGCATTCACATTCTGGCAAAGAGTCTTGCAAAGGTAGAATTATTAGCTCAGGCCTTATCTATCCTGGAAAGCAGCCCGGTAAATAGCTCCACACACAGTGCTGACAAGGAAGGGCTGGGCAAAGAGTCTCTAGGTTACACGGACAAACTGCACGAGGCTGGAACGAACGAGCGAGCAAGTTGTTTCCTGCAAAAGCCCCCTCCCCTTTTGCTCCTCTTTTAATCCTGATGGGAGGGGCCGTTCATCGTCCACCTGTGACCCTCACTCACACGTCGATCCAGCTTTCTCAACTGTTCTTGTCTTCTGGTAGTCCTGTGCATACACAGGCTGGGAACCGGTTCCAGAAGCTCCCCCGCCTCACTGCTGTCTGAGCCCAAAGGCAGCTGATGGCCCCATCCCTGCCTCTGATGCAGAGCCCTCCTCCGGGCCTTTCTCAGCCTCCAAGACTGGCCCAGGTTCCTCCCTCAACCTCCTCATTACTGTCCAACTCTGCTGCCAGCTCCGTCAGCCGCCGGCAGGCCCTCTCCCTGATCTCATTGGATGGGACCCCGTTCTGATAAAACACACCTGTCCATGGCTTGAAGCTGCCCACGGAAGGGCTGAGAAGCTTGCTGGGTGGAAGGTCCCCCTGGACATTGGGTCTCAGCAGAAGATCCGTGATCGATCTCTCTCTCTCTGTCCCCTACACGGGCTCTCAGAGTCCACATACCCCCAGGAGACCCCGAGTTGGAGGAGGCTGACTTAATGGATCTTCTGACTTTAGAGAAACGGCCCGTTTGAACGTGGCTGGACTTCAACTCCTTGCTGGCCGGAGAGTTGAAGTCCACCCATCTTCAACTGCCAAGGTTGAGAGATGGAGACATTATTATGTTGGTTTAAGTGGATCCTTTGTGAGCTGCGGGATTCCTGCTTTCCAGACTTCTGGGACACAGCCGGCCAGGAGCGTTTCCAGAGCATGCACGCGTCCTACTACCACAAAGCCCATGCTTGCATCATGGTAAGGAAACGGACGCCTGGGGTTTGCGGTGGGAATGCTTGAGTGAGGGATCTCTTCGGGCTGGTAGAGAGCCTTCTTCTGACTCCGGGGCCTCGGTTGTCCTGATGTGGGTGGGACAGAGTCTTCCCCATTTTTCTTGGCCCTCCACAAGGGAGGGGCCACAAATCCAGAAGAGTATCTTCTCCAGCTCATTCCATGTCCCGTCTTCCCCCCAATGCCACGGCAGCCATGGAGTCACCACACTCAGCCCTGATCAGTGATGGGATTCCAAGAATGTTACTACCGGGTCTGGTGGGTGTGGCTTGGTGGGCATGGCAGGGGAAGGATACTGCAAAATCCCCCTTCCCTCCCCACCCCGCTGACCTGCTTTCCAGCTCCGTTCTCCTGGGCAGGGCAACCAAAGGAGACCCAGCCAATCAACTGGGACTCAATGGGAGGCGGAGAAGAGATGGGGTTGGCGGGGCCAGTCGGAGGCGGGATTGGCCGGTTCTCCAAATCTCTAAAAATTTCTGCTACCAGTTCAGGAAAACCGTTCAGAACCGGCTGAATACTCACCTCTGGTCCTGATCAGTGGTGGGATTCAAATTATTTTACTAACGGTTCTTTGGGTGTGGCATGGCTTGGCGGGCGTGAGCAAGCCTACCACCGTCTAGTAGATGTTTCTCCTGGGACCGTTTGCACCCTTGCAGCTTCCTCCCACCGGGATCTGAGATTTGGGTTGTCGTTTGATTAGCGCATGGTCAGCCGTCCTCCCCTTCTCTCCCCCTCCCTTCCAGGTGTTTGATGTCCAGCGGAAGGTCACCTACAAGAACCTGACCAACTGGTATAAGGAGCTGCGTGAATTCCGGCCTCAGATCCCTTGTATCGTAGTGGCCAATAAGATCGATGGTGGGTCCCCTCCCCTTTTTCCCCTTTGGGGGGGAGGGGATCCAGCCCCTTCTTGGGCAAGGGGGAAAACCTTCAGCCCTTCAGGCTTTAAGACCACACCACCCCCATTGCCCCAAGGCGGCTTAGCCAGTGGCGGAGAACATCACCGCGGAGCTTCCTCTGAAAACTGCACCAACCGGTCTGGAACGAAAAAGAGGTTTTTCCATTGGAAAACGCAATATAACAGAGAGTGGGAAGGGGCCTCGAAGGTCTTGTAGTCCAACCCCCCGCCCAAGGAGGAAACTCTATGCTGTATCACACAAATGGGGGTCCAGTCCCTTCTTAAAGAGGTCAGTGTGAAATCCTGGGTGTGATGAAGGATTTTAGTTTCCCCTACTCAAAGTTGCATCTCCCATCCAGCCAGGGGTCTCTGTCCCAACCATGGCCATTTCTACCCATGTGTGTGTACGTATGTATGTATGTATGTACATACTTATTTTAACAGTTTTTATACATTTTCACATTACATACATAGGTGCTTAGGATAGGAAGGATACCTTCTGGGAACTGCTCGACATCCAACTCAGGCAGATCCCACACGAAGACGACATCATCATCTCGGGCGACCTGAATGGTCATGTAGGGCGGGACAAAAACGGACACCAGTGCCACGGTGGGCACGGCACAGGCGATACGAATGAGAATGGCCAGAGGATCCTGGACTTTGCCGACTCCCATGATATGACCATCACGAATACCTGCTTCATTAGGCGAGAATCTCAACTCCTCACCTACCATAGCAGAAACGGGAGCCACCACACACAGATCGACTACATCATCGTACGACGAAGAGCCGCTAAAAACGTGCTCAACGCCAAGGCGTACCCGTACGAATCGAGCAGTCAGCACAGGCCGCTGATGGCGAAGATCAGGATCAGCAAGCCCAAGACCAGGATTGACAAAAGAAATGCAGACCAGCCACGAATCAAGTGGTGGAACCAGAAGAAGATGGCGGGACCCCTCATCAAACCGGAGCAGTTCCCGCAGATGGTCGACGGGCCACAGGAAGCGTGGTCCATGCTGAAGAGCACTGTTCACACTGCCGGCTGCCAACAGCTTGGTTGCACCAAGCCAGGACGGAGACGCATCGAACGAGATACATGGCTCTGGACACCGGAAGTACAAGATGCCGTACACCTGAAGAAACGGCTCTACAAGGCCTTTCTTCAGGACAAGACCAGCGAGAAGCTCTGCGAATACAAGGCGGCCAAAAAGGCAGCCAAGAAAGCAGTAGCGACAGCCAGAAGCTCCCACTACGATGACATCTACGAGAAGCTGAACACGCGAGAAGGCGAGAATGAGATCTACCGCCTAGCCAAAAGCAGACACAGGAAGACCCTGGACATTGACCAGTTTCATGGGATCAACGACGAAAGGGGAAATTTGATCGTCAACCCCAGAGACGCTGCGGAGAGGTGGCGGCAATACTTCGAGAAGATCTCCACCGAGGAGTTCCCACACCCACGAACCCCGCGAGGTGACCCAGTTGAAGGCCCAGTCTCAGGCATTTATGCCAGCGAGGTCGCCGACGCCATCAAGGCCATGAAAAACGGTAAGGCAACAGGACCAGACGACATCCCTGCCGACTTCTGGAAAAAGGCACTACCGGGCTCGGCATTGTGGCTGTGCGAGCTGTTCAACAACATCGTCTCCACGGGAAAAGTGCCACACGACTGGTACCGCAGCACCACTGTTCCGATCTGGAAGGGAAAGGGCAGCCCAGCGGACTGCTCCAACTACAGACCGGTCAGGTTACTGTCACACACTATGAAGATCTTTGAACGCGTCCTTGATAAGCGCATTCGGGACACCGTCGACATCAGCGTCAACCAGGCTGGATTCATCAAGAACTGCGGCACCACCGACGCCATCTTCGGTGTGCGGATGCTGATGGAGGCTCACAGAGAGAAGAAAATCCCGCTCCACACCGCCTTCCTAGACTTGGAAAAGGCCTTCGACCGAGTCCCGCACGATCTCATCTAGTACGCACTGCGAGACCACGGCGTGCCTGAGCTGCTCGTACAATGGGTCCAACTCCTATACAGATGTCACAAAAGCCGTGTAAAAGCGGCAGCTGGGATATCAGAGGAGTTTAATATTACCGTCGGCGTACACCAGGGCTCTGCTCTCTCACCACTGCTGTTCATTCTGGTGATGGACACAATTACACACGACCTGTACACGCCCGCCCCATGGACGCTGCTCTACGCCGATGATGTGTTCCTGGCCAACCTGTGCAAGGCTGAACTAGAGCACCGAGTCCAACAGTGGCACGACCGCCTCGAGCAGTTCGGGCTCCGGCTGAACCTAAAGAAGTCCGAATACCTGACCACTGACAATGAAATGACAGGCTCCATCCACGTGAACGGGCAGGAGCTACCGCGCGCCTCCACCTTCAAGTACCTGGGAACTACTCTTGGGGAAGAAGGCCTACTACAAACTGAGGTGGCAGCCAGGATCAATGCAGCGTGGGGCAAATGGAAGTCCGTCACGGGCGTCCTCTGTGACAAGAAGATGCCGATGCGCCTGAAGGCGAAAATCTATAACTCTGTGGTGCGCCCCGTGGCCATATACGGCGCAGAGTGCTGGCCGACGACCAAAGAAGTCGAAAGCAGACTCCAGATAATGGAGATGCGAATGCTCCGATGGTCGGTAGGCCTCACCCTACTCGATCGCGTCAGGAACGAAGAAGTGCGTAGACGGTTCAACGTCGTGCCCATCCCCACGGTCATGAGGCAGTCCCGGCTACGATGGTTCGGCCACGTGAGCCGCGCCAAGGAAGAATCCATCATCAAATCTGTAATGAAGGTGACTGTCGGAGGAGCGAGACCGCGTGGTAGACCTAAACAACACTGGATGGACACGATCAAGGCCGATCTAGAGATCGCGAAGGCAGACCCGACACACGTGGCAGACAGAGAGGTGTGGAAGCAGTACTCAAGGACATTAGCGGACCTCGCCCGAGCGCGAGACAAACGCTGAAGAAAAAGAAGAAGAAGAAGATACATAGGTGCTTAGTGAAAGTGTATTGTAAAGCAAAGGTGGCTGAGGAACTCTGGGAGTTAAAGTTGCCAAGTTTGGAGGCGCCTGGTCTGGACCATTTTATTTCTACATAATCATACTCTTCCCTCTCCTAATTTCTCTCTCTGCTATCCAACCATTTGTAACACAAGCCCTGTGTTCGAAAATGCTCTGTGTCTCCTTTTTTCCTTTTCTGTTTAGTGTCAATCTGTCCATTTCTGCACAAGTATACAATTTTTTTTTAATTCCATCTTCTAAAAATAAGCTTTGGGTTACCAGATCGGGAGCTTTATTATCAAGCAGCTCTATTAACACAGGCGAGAGAATGGATAAATCTTAAGGCACAGAAGGTTACTGTTTTCAGAAGGTCACTATCTCCAGTTAGGATGGCATCCTTTTTTTTACTGTATGGTAAAAGTAAAACTCACAGGTATTTTCAAAGACAATATGTAAGAAATGCTCTATTTTTAGTATCTATTTATTTAGAAGGTCTATATGGCCACCCCACCCACTCTGGGCAGCTTACAAACAATAAAGAACCCAACATATATAACATCGGATATATAATGCAGGACAGGTGATATACATGGACACACCTCGGTATGCACAACACCAGGTGGGCTGTTGCATTTTGCACCAGTTGGAGGTTTCTTTTCAAGGTGTGTGCGAATATATTGGGACTCTTGTCCCAGGAATGAAAGGCGAGGTCTCCCAACAACCCTGAGATAGACCCTGAGCCCATCTTTGGTTAGTACGTGTGCTTAACTTCGATCATGGTTAGATTTTGGGGAGGTTAACGTGTGGTAAGTGGTAGCTTAGTCTTGCCTCCAGAAGTTGTGAATGCTCCAACCATGGAAGTTTTCAAGAAGAGATGGGACAACCCTTTGTCTGAAATGGTATAAGGTTGGACTAGAAGACCTCCAAAGTCCCTTCCGACTCTTATTCTGTTGTGTTCTGCCTGTATTTGATTCCTGTCGCTCTTCCTCTACAGAGAAGTTGGGCTGCAGAAGCGGGCAGCCGTTTTGGGGCCAGGGAAATGCATCGTTTTAAAATGGTGCACATCCACAACATGAATTCAGTCATTTCTGGGACGGGGCAGAAACGTTTTAAGGCTTTGGGGGCAAAACCTTTAAGAGAAGGGATGTGGATGTGTTAAGTCAACACATCCACGTTGTCCTTGTCTCTTCCCTGAAGAAAGAAAAGAGAAAAAAATGGATGGGCTTAAGCAGAGCTCTCCAAACTTGGCCACTTTAAGACTTGTGGACTTCAAGTCCCAGAATTCTCCAGCCAGCTCTGCTGTGATATTCTCTAGCATGCTAGGCTATGCTGGCTGGAGAATCCTGGGAGTTGAAGTCCACAGGTCTTAAAATAGCCAAGTTTGGGGACCTGTCTTCACCTGGCCCACCTCCAGTGGGGCCTGTCTAGGAGGCTTCTCGGTCTCTCAGAAATTCAGAGGAAGCTGCTGCTGGTTTCCACAGAGAAGCGAGCTGAAGACCTTGGACAACCATTTGTCTGGAATTGTATAGGGTTTCCTGCCTGAGCAGGGGGGTTGGACTAGAGGACCTCCAAGGTCCCTCCCACCTCTGTTACTCTGTAAGAACCTGCCATGTTTGGGCAATTCATGCATCGGTGCTTCTCGTTGCAAACTCAGCAGTTGGGTTATTTCAGTCAACAAATTGACTGAAATTCCTGACGGTGAAGACAATTCACCAGGGGAACAACTTGTCTCCAGATGTTGTGAAGGCTGCAACACTGGTGGTTTTTGAAGAGATGTTGGATAACCATTTGTCTGACGTGGTGTAGGGGGTTGGACTAGAACCGTGATGGCGAACCTATGGCACACCTGCCACAGGTGGCACGCAGAGCCATTTGTGCCGGCACGTGAGCCCCAGCCAAATTTACCTGTCCTGTGCACGTGAGTGCCTCCCAGCTGATTTTTGGCCTGTTTGAGGCCTTTTTCACCCTCCCAGAGGCTCGAGAGAAGTCTCTGCAGCCTTTGGAGGCCGAAAAACAGGCCCGTTTCGGCACTTTTTCGGCCTCCAAAGGCTGCAGAGGCTTCTCTCGAGCCTCTGGGAAGGTGAAAAAGGCCTCAAATGGGTGAAAATCAGCCGGGAGGCGCTCACATGCGCAGTGCGAGTAAGGGGGCGGGGGATTGCACGTGCATGCGCAGGAGGGCACATTGCATCGTGGGTGTTGGCACACACGTGTGCTTTCGGCACACCACAACAAAAAGGGTTGCCATCCCTGGACTAGAAGACCTCCAAGGCCCCTTCTATTCTAATTAAGCCTGTGGGTCCTTCCTTGTCTTGGGCTGCGTCATCTGGGGCCCTCCTGAGGTTATCCGGCTCTCTCTCTCTCTCGTTTTCTAGCCGACCTGAAGGCCACGCAGAAAAGTTTCAACTTCCCCAAGAAGCTCAACCTGCCTCTCTACTTCGTCTCCGCAGCAGACGGCACCAACGTTGTGAAGGTGGTTGAGGGAGGCTTGGATTCCTGGCCGAGGGGGTGGCGGGGGGTATGCGGGGGCAGGGAAGGGGCCCCCAGCGGTGGTCTCCCCCCGGTTGACCCTCTGCGTTCCCTTCCGCAGCTCTTCAGCGATGCCATCAAAATGGCCGTGGCCTACAAGCAGAACTCGGGCGACTTTATGGACGAAGTCCTGAAGGAGCTGGACGTAAGAGGGGCTCCCTGGGCGGCTCTTTGGGGTTGGAGGCCCAAAGGCCCCCCCGGAAATTGGCTCTTGGGTGGGGTGGGGGGGGAGAAGGCCTTTCAGGGGGCCTCTGGGGGGTCTGTGGTGTGGCTTCTAATCGCTAACCACGGTGGCAGGGAGCCGCAGTTAGAGGGCGGTTTGTGTGCCCGGCAGCCCTGAGGGTTATTTTCCCTGACTTTGGTTTTCTCAGGTGGGGGGACCCCTCCCTTCCCTCCCTCTTTCCTGACTGCTTCATTCCTTTCCTCTCTCCCTCCTCACCTCCTTTCCTTCTAGCCTCCCTCTTTCCTTCCTCTCTCCCTTTCTACACCTCACTTCCTCCCCTGTTTTCT